TCCCTTGGATAAATTCCTAGCAGTGCTATTGCTGGGTCATAGGGTAGGTCTATTTTTAATTTTCTGAGGAACCTCCACACTGCTTGGAAAATATGTTTTAACAGTGAATGTGAAATCTACCTTGAGCTTAAAAAAATGATAATAATAATGCCTGGGTCCCCACCCAGATACCTGAGGTACAGCCTAGGCTTCCTGATTGCTAAACATCATCCAGGTGATTCTAATATGCAGCCAAGGTAGAAAGACACTAATCTAGGGGCCTATTTGTATACTTAAAAGTAAATTTAATAGATCACAAATATACACATTTAACGATAATATTTATTATTTAAGACATTAAGTATCTGTGCATATATAGGTATGTGTATATAAGTGAGTTATCTATGTACACACACACACATACACACACAAAGAATACTCACAAATTCCCCCTAAATCACCAAATGGAATGAAGTTTTCTCTAAACGAAAAAGGTTCTCTTCTAAAAATTGTGTGACTTAGAGTGAGGATACAGACACAAGCCAACTGTTCTCTCTGAACCCAGCGTAGTACTATCCAGGGCCCCTGCAGAGTGTCTGAATGTTCATTCCTGAGTCTCTGGTTCTGTCCAACTGCCCTGTTTATAGACCCCACCCTGAGCAAAGTGACCATTCTCTAGAAAAAAATAATAATAGTTCACAGAATTTCTGCTGAGGAAGCTGAGACTGGACCAGGTGAATAGGTCCAGATTGTAGAAAGTTACACTGACCCACATAAGTAGATGTAGATTGCTTCCGTGAAAATCACCCTTATTAGCAAAACATAATTGAGTACCTCCTAAGATAAGCTGCCTTGATGAAAATCTTAACACCAGTGATTTTTAAAATAACTGTTTCTCTACAGTGTTCAATGCCTAAGTGTTTCACTCAGCCTTCAACATGACAAAACCACCAAATGCAAAGAGGAAAAAGCGATCTTGGACATAAAACACACACATGTGCACACGTGCGTGCACATCCACGCTTCCACTCCAAGGAAAGCAGCATTTATGTTGAACGAGGGTTGCCCTGTGCAGGGCCAGGAGAATCATTCCCATTTCATAGTCTTTTCCACAAACACCTGCTGTGATCCTTCTGCTTCCCCCACCTCCACCTGTGCCTGTGCCAGTCCTGCTACTTGAACCCTTCCTGCTTCTAACTGTCGGCTCCCTGAATTCTAACAGCCTGGCTCAATGGTTGCCTTCTCAAGGAAGCTCTCCAACGGCTGGTGCCCCAGACACCTGCACACTTGTACGCACTGCATTCCCATTACACCTGATTCATCCCCGCTCCCTGGGACTTCCTTGAGGCCAGAGACCCTGTCTTTCCGTGTTCCCACACCACTTGCTCAGAGCCTTTATATGTTTTTGTGCCGGTGGGAGGGGGGAGCAGTCATACCATCCCAGAACCTGCATAAACCCAGCTTCTCCCAAATCTACACCCTCCCAAACCATCCAAGGACCTTGGGTTGAGATGTGTGCCCCAGATCCCAGCGTTGCACAGCACCAAATGAGTGTTGGTGGAGGTTCCCAAGAATAGACCAAGGGAACGGGGTGAAATTCATACAATCACCTCAGGTGTCTATATCTGCCTGGGATTGCCCAGTCATTAATTTGTCTCATAACTGCAGTGCGATTTGCTCGGGGTTCTCACTCCTGGAGGCACCTCGAATTAAAGGCTAACGTTTTGGAATCAGAGAAATTTTGTTGTGAATCTGTGATCTATTACTTAGTAGCTGGATGCCCTTGGATAAATAACTAAACATCCCTGTGCTTTGGTTCTCCTCCTTTAATTAAGCATAATGATAGTGCCTACTTCATTTGGCCTACAGAAGAATAAATAAAAATAATGCATCTAAAAGTTTTCTACGCCATGTCAGACAAGAGCTTAATAAGTGAAAACTACCAAATATTTTAGCCATTTTCACTTTTTCAGGAAAAAAAAATTGGGGAAGTTTTAACCTTTAAAATTATACTATCAGGGAAAGTTGATGATTCTGTCTCACCAACTATTCGTGTGTGTGTGTGTGTGTGTGTGTGCATATATATGTGCGTGTATATGCAGACACATGCACATATATACTCCATATTTATATACATATCTGAATATATATATATATATATATATATACACAGTCCTTACATACGGTGACTCCACTTACGATTTTTTTTTCATTTATGATGGTGCAAAAGAGATACACATTCCGTGGAAACCGTATCTGGAACCTTGAATCTGTATCTTCCCCCAGGCTAGTGTTACGCCCTAGGATCCTCTCTAGTCCCAACTCCTAGTGGGCCAGGGGTTCACGACAGTGAACAATAGATACACTTACAACCATTCTGTACCCAGGCAACCATTCTGTTTCTCACTTTCAGCACACTATCCGATCAACTGAATGAGATACTCAACCGTTTATTATGAATTAGGCATTGTGATAGAGGATTTTGCCCAGCTGTAGGCTACTGTATGTCTTCTGAGCACCTTCAAGATAGGCTGGGCTAAGCTATGATGTTCAAGAAATAGATTCATATTCCAGTGACTTAAGATATTTTCAGCTTAGGCTGGGTCTGTCAGGACTACCCTCATCCTAAGTGGAGGCAGACCTGTACACATAGTGGCATACATACTAAGCTGATCTTGTTTTCAAAACCCTGGCCCCAGGAGGCTGGGTCGCCCTTTGCCAGGCGGGCCGGCAGCAGAGGGGAGGGGGCAGGGGGTGAGGATGGCATCCGGGCGCCGCTTCTTACCTTCAGAGGGGAGTCCCCGAGGCTGGCGCGGGGGCGGCCGTCCCTCCTCCACCCTGGTGGCCTCGGCGACAGAGGCAGGAGTTCAAACAGCAGGTGAGAAACTGCAATCGCCGCCTCCCCAGCGCTGTGAAACACGAAAGGAAAGAGAGGAGCCGCAAGTGTGATTAAAGATATAAGGCAACTAGAGAAGGTTGGAGGAAA